AGGATGGTAGGAGTGCTTACGGATAGATAGATAGCGTGAAGTTGTGATATTTGGTTTAAGCTGCGGTCCTCTCCCCAGCGGGGATGTTAATGCATGCGACCCTAAGTCTTGCGTTTTTAGCACTAAGAAAATTCTTTCTTTCCTGTTCTCTATCGCTCCTTTTTTTTTTGCAGAGCGATATTAGCTTCGAGGAGGAAGTGTTTGAGCCTAGCGATACATCTCCGAATGTGTCTATAGCGAGTGAACGCCTATCAAAATGCTCTTCGTCGCTTTCCCTCTCCCAAAGTTATAGCTCTGGGGACTGCCAAGAAAGTCAGCAGAGATCTCCACTATTAAGCCCGGAATTGGTGAGTTTTTATTTCATACCTTTTACATCTATATACCTCACGTTGTTAGAGACTCTTGATGCGCTATCTTGATGCATGTTAAAGTATGCATGACCTGTTTGCAGAAGTATTCATTGCCGGCTGTGGAACATCCACAGCGGGAATCTCTCGCTTTCCGTAGTATATCAGCTGACACTCTAGCATCTGAAATTCGAAGACTTGGTCCCGAAGAATTTGAGCGTCGTTATACACTAGTCGATTGCAGATACCCTTACGAATACGAGGGAGGACACGTGAAGGCTTGTTTTAAGTTTTCTATCTTTTGCAATTTTTATCGATGTGCAGCCTTCGCAGTGGATTTGATTAGGAGTCTCTTCAGTGTGCTGTGAACGTCCATAACCAAGATGAATTAGAGAAGATTTTCTTCCCGGAAGATCCGAATCATCCAATCCGCAAGCGCATACCCATTTTCTATTGCGAATTCAGTCAGAAACGAGGACCAGGGATGTGAGTTTTATCAGGCTCCTTTTCGGTTGTATTTTTGTGCATTCTTGCTTTTTTGAGTTTAGTTTTGATCCCAATTTGTATATGGTCTCAATTCCTTTAACTTTTAATTTTTGTTTTTGCGGCATTTGCAAGCTCATTCTTTCTATTTTTTTTTTGTTCGAAAATCCTGTTTATAGGGCACTAGCACTGCGCAACATCGATCGGATGCGCAACGAATTTCAGTACCCTAAAGTGGACTATGCTGAGATGTATCTACTTGATCACGGCTATCGACAATTCTGGAATGATGGACGCTACAAGGTTGTGTATTTGCTTGATTGCCTCATTGGAAGACAAAAATCGGTGCTATATCTGTGAAACAAGTTTCAAATAGTGTTTTTTGCTCAAAACCCATTGAAGGGGGAAAAA